AGATTGAATATTGTTGTTTCTGTTACTTTTCTGATATTTATGGCAAAGCTTCCCAGAAATCTAATTTCAAGTACAAATTTGGTGGCCTGTCATTTGACTGATGCAAGGAAATTTTGTGGAACCTCAGTAGAGCTCCTGAGACACTCCACGAAGTTTCTCCTTTTCCTCCTGGGAAAGCATTACATAAATTTGTTCTATTTGGCTTTTACCTAATGAAGTAAAACTGGAAGGGAAGCATTGTCACTTGGGAAAATGGTAAAAAACTTTGGTATGTCCAATATGTTAACAGTAGTATCGGGTATGTATGTAAATTGTCAGTGGTGATTGTCACCTTGTAATATTGTATAATTCAATTGTTTCACATCTACAGAAATTGTTTCTGGAAATATAGGGAGAAAAGGTCTCAACAGATTCCTATTGATGGAACTGTTGAGAGTAAAACTTTCTTACAAAGGACTCAATAGACCTGGAAATACACCTGACATTTACTAAGGTTTCTTTGACATAATACTGGAACTTTTTTTTTATGCATTCTGTCCTGAATCCACGAAATTTTTTGTTTTGTTTTGTTTTGTTTTGACTAACCAGGATCTGCAGAAAGGTTGTAATTTTTTTTCCAGCAAAGCTAACTTGTCACATTTTCTCTCCCCTTGATACCAACACAGCATACAAATAGTGGTAGTAATTTTTGCTACTTATTTCAGAGTCTGTTTTTGCATAACTTCCATAGGGATTTTGTCTGTTTTAACGAAAATTGGACGTGAGTTTGATTGTGTGGCTTTGTGTGGAGTTCTTCCAGAAAGTTGAAAAAGAGCTGAACCAAGAAGAGGAGAACCTGTTTGCCTTGTTTGTAGGGTTCCAGAGACCTCCAAAGAAGGTGAGGAAGCTTGCCTCCATTGGCAGGACTGGACAACCCGGCCAACGAAAATGCCCTGGTACCCTTGAGAAGAGGAAAGCCCAGGTGGAGTCTGATGAGACCAACTTTATACCTGAAGCCTGCATCGACCAGATGCCAACGGTTCGCTCTGATCCTGTATGGAATATTTCAACAAAGCCAGCTAAAATTGCTGTTAGTTATTTCTACTCTGTGATTTTATGCAAAAATAGAAAAATGGTTTAAAAGTAGATCTAGTTTGCAAACTTTTGCTTTGCTGTTAAAAGTTTGGGATCAAGGTTGAGAAAATTTGTGTTTTTACATCAGTTGAACCATTTTAAGATTTTTTTTTTCCTGAAATTTTTACATATCTGCTGACTTGTTTTGGCTAACGCCTCCAGATTTTTTTTTGGCTTAAACTGATGAACTATTTTTTCCTGGAGTGGAGGACTTTTGCTTTCCACAATGGACAAATACCTGGAGAGACTGGTTTTCTTTCACACTGGAACCTGACAAAACGTTCATCTGAAACTGCATCCCAACCTCCATATATTTGATCTTCATCACCATGGAAATGGTGGCAAAAAGTGAAAGGGGGGAATTGTTAGGGGGAAAAGGCAGTCCCAAAGCAAATTCCATACAGGCTTTGTGGACTCCACCCCCACCCCAGGTCAAAGCCAAAGACACTGGGAACTCCAAATCCCATCACCACCAAAGGGAAGGTGGCTGGGACCTGAGGGTGGGGTTAAGCAGCCAGGTGGATACAAAAGGCAGACACGTGGGCTTTGGGGGGCTCTCCATTTTGGGGCCCTCGGCCAGCTCGCGGCGTCCGTCTAGCTCTGAGAGTGACTTTGGGGTTTCCAGGTCGTCGGATCGGGTAGGACGCATTAAAGACTTTATTTCCCTATTTTCTCCCTGAGTTGTACATTTTCCTTATTTCTTTTTCTCTTGTAAATAAACCTTTTATTAACCCTTTTGCGTGTGTCTGTAGTAGAGTATTCATAAGTCCCTTTAAAGCGCGCGGGTGAGGACCCACAGCCAGGAACCCGTTTAATATCGGGGTTGCTCTATAACAATTTGAATAAATAAATATTAGATTCTTTAACACAGAGTTGCTTTTGAGTTCAAAAAGTCATCCCACAATCACAAGTGTCTACTTCTACAAAACAAACTAGTATCCCTTAAAGATAAAAAAAAAAATAATAAGTAGAACATGACCAGATGAGATTAACTGTGGGTCTACTAATCCTAAGCAGCCTGTTCGGCCCCCATTTTGTTACCTGCAGTTCTGCATTCCTATACAAGGTCAGAACTACCTGGTCAATCAGTCAGAGCCAAAACTTACAAAGTGCCTTTCAAATCAACCAAGAGCTTAAAGCTTGATCACTCTGGGAAGGCTATGCATCAGGAGGTATGACCAGGAACACCTGGGGGGCTGAGGACAGATGTAGGACTAGGAACCCCAGAAGCTAATCAGTAGAAAGACTTGTTGAAAAGGTTGAAACTAGGGGATCTAGGGCTGGGGATCTAGAGCTTGATCTTAGTTACAATACCACGTCCTTAAGCAGATGAAAAGTGCTGGAGGGCAGACTCCCAACCCCTGATAGTATAGTTTCTAGTTTCTATAGTTTCTAGTTTCTGATAGTATAGTTTCTAGTTTCTATAGTTTCTAGTTTCACCCCTCCCTTTACTCCTTGTCCTCCTTACTCTCAGAACTGAGGCTTTATAATTATTGTATCAATTAAAAGGCCGGGGATCTTGCTCTTCAGTAGCATCCTGCATTATGTAGCCTGCTTGGCAACTCACTCTCATTTCTTTATCAGTGTGGTGTTGCCCAATACGTTGCAACAGTTAACAATGTATGATTTGCTGAAAATGTCTATTCAGAGGTGCTATACAAAATGAAAATGACAGTTAACAAATCAATAAATAAAGGGGAAAATTTGAAGTACAATTCATATACTCTGTTTTGGGGACATGAAGAGTACATGGAATTATATTCCATGGAGAGACTTCAGAAATATCTGGTCTGCTGTGAATAGAATTGTTTGGAAAACCACACCAAATTAATTGCAAACAGGAGCTAATAACTAGCAATTTAGAAGTACATGGAAGAAAGATATTCCCACTGGTAAAAAGCAATTATGAATTTTCTCCATAAAGAGCTCTTTCAAAAGCAAGCTAAATTCTAGTTTAAAAATGCTATCGAGTCTAAATAACTTAATGTTTAAAGTATGAAAACTTCATCAATGACAAAGTGACCAGCAAAATGAAAAAGGTAAATATAATGTACTGATATGTTGGCAATCTATCTCAATTAAAATAATGCTCTAAATCCTGAGACTCTTTTGCTTATACTTGAGTTTACCTGATGAGGAGACGTTGGAGGGTCCCTCATAGATTCAAAATGGGGTATTGTTCCCTAGAGAAACCTAAGAACTTTTAGCCCCAAACCTGACCACAGGAAGGCAAGAGCAGGCAAATAAATCCAATTATCAGTGGCCAATGATCTGGTCACTCACAGCTATGTACTCAAGCATCTATAAAAACTCTGCAGTGAAGGGGCTTGGGGGCATTTAGCTGATGAGCACATCTAGGTGCTAGGAAGGTGGAACGTGAAAGTTCTGTTTGACATGGAACCAAAGAGATGTGTGCTTTTCCTGAGTGTTTTTTTTTTTTTTAAGATTTATTTATTTATGCATACAAGAGCTGGGGTACAGGCCAGAGATGTGGGGAGTGAGAGGACTCACCAGAGACAGAGTGGGGAACAGAACAGGCAGACTGACTGAAATACACTGCTAAGCGGAGCAGTGGGCGAGATAGGAGAGGTCTGCTTCGCCATGTGGGTTTCTCCCCTGCCAGCAACTTGTACTGCAGAGGCTGCAGATTGCTTCATAGTTTGGTGCTTAACCCCTTGTGCCACCAGGGATGCCCCTGAGTGTGTTTTTTCTAAGACACTCCAATCCATGGTCAGGAAAAGAAAAATTGACCTTCACTAAGATTCTGTTTTTCTCATGGAAGGAGAGGGAATAGAGGTGAGAGATGGTTGTGGAAGAATTTGGATAATGAAATTTCAATTGTAACCCTAATAAGATATGTGTATAAATACCATTGGGTAATTAATAGAAAACAAAATATGCTCTATTAATTGCATTGCATGTCTTGAGGTTATATTTATAGAATAATGTTTATTAAGCATAACTATTACCACACGTAAAGTGGTGATGGGGAGGCTGTGAAGAGTATCTGGCCTCAATGATTAAAACAGTCAAAAGGTGAGACAATCCCCCAATGCAAAAACAGAATTGCGGAGTATTATTTTGTCAGGACAAATGAATGGAAAGATAAGAGCATTTTTCCATGGTATTGAAGGACTGAAATTCTCTGTGTAAACAGAACAAAAAAAATCAGTAAACACAAGAACTTCAATAACATCTCTTTTTTTTAAGATTTTTATTTATTCATACAAGAACTGGGGTACAGGCCAGATGTGCTGAAGGGTGAGAGGATTCACCAGAGACAGAGTGGGGAACAGAACAGGCAGACTTACTGAAACGCACTGCTGAGCGAAGCAGTAGGCAAGACAGGAGAGTTCTGTTGCGCCATGCAGACATCCCCGCCCCAGCCGGCCAGGATCAAACTGGCACTGCCACCCAGAGGCTGCGGGCAGTTCCAAAGCACTGAGCTCAACCACCTGCGCCACCAGGGAGACCCTCAATAACATCTTTGAGTCTGCTAGGAAGAACAATATACATAGAGCTGTCTTTATAAGAGTGAGGCTATTTAACCAAATCAAAAAAAAAAAAAAAAAAAGAAAAAGAAAGAGAGAGAAGAGGTGAGTGGGGAAGAGAGGGAATATTGGACCCAATTTGACTGGAAGAAATAATTCATCTCTAGCCCCTCCTCTGACTGCAGGTTAAATAAAAAATATGTAATAATATGGATCTTATTGTTATAATTAAAATGAAAATCTAACATTTAAGCATTGTATTAAATTGATTTCTTTCTGCAGATGAGTTCATAGCTCCTAGTTTCACATCAAATCATCCAGAAAACAAGTGTCACAAAGAAACTGAGAAGCCATGAGGACCAAGTCCATGTTCCAGCCCAATTACAAAAGAGGAAAATGCAGCCAAGAAATGTAAATCCACAGAGAGAAAGCAATTTGAAAATTACAGAAACAAATCTCACCACAATAAGAGAGTTTGTTCTCTTGGGCTTCTCTGAAATTCCCAGATTCCACTGGTATCTTTTTGGGGTATTCTTAGTCATCTATGTGATTATCCTTTTGGGAAATGGTGTCATAATTCTTATAACAAAAGTAGATCACACACTTCAGACCCCCATGTATTTTTTTCTTAGAAATTTATCCTTCCTAGAAATCTGCTATGTCTCTGTCACTCTTCCAAGAATGCTCATGGACCTTTGGACCCAGAAAGGAGCTATTTCTATTTCTGCCTGCGCTACACAAATGTGCTTCTTTCTTATACTGGGGGCCACCGAGTGCTTCCTGCTGGCCGTGATGTCCTATGACCGCTATGTGGCCATTTGTAACCCTCTGCACTACCCTCTGGTCATGAACCACAAGATGTGTGTCCAGCTGGTAGCTGCTTCCTGGGCCATTGTAACTCCAGTCCAGATAGGTCAAACATGCCAGATTTTCCTTCTGCCTTTTTGTGGTTCTAATCTAATCAAGCACTTCTTCTGTGACATTCCCCCCATTCTCAAGCTAGCTTGTGGGGACATCTTCATAAATGAGATAATGATCTATATATTTTCTGTACTGTTTGTCCCTGTTCCTTTTCTGTTGATCCTCAGGTCCTATAGCAGAATTATTTCCACCATCCTGAAGTTGCCATCAACTACAGGACGGGCCAAAGCCTTCTCCACTTGCTCCTCTCACCTAATCGTTGTAATTTTATTCTATGGAACTGCCACCATCACCTATTTAAAACCTAAGTCCAATCAGTATGAAGGAATGCAAAAACTGTTCTCTCTTTTCTATACTATATTGACCCCAATGTTCAATCCTCTGATATACAGTCTGCGAAACAAAGATGTTTTAGAGGCTCTACGGAAATTGCTTCCCAAAATGTCAGCATTGTGAAAAACTTAGACAAGCATAATTATTGTCTTACATATTTAATGAATATGTAGATTTGATTGAAATCCTATTTTCAGTACCATCCTGAATTTTACAAGAAGTTAATGATGAAATTCTCTTTTAATTTACCATTATGTTCTCAGAGTTATTGCAATTGTGTTCAATTATTTAGCAATGTTTGGAACATTCAGTCTTCCACTTCACTATAAACTAATAAATAGAGATGTGTAACAATGGTATGTGATATGTTTTATAATTGACATGATGCAATTTTCCACTCTTTTGTTGATGCCGCTGTTGACACAGCCTAATGTATTCTATTAAAGAAGCAAAACACTTTTAGAAAATGGAATATTTACTAAATTATTCCCTGAATGAATGCATAGAGAAGTAAAGCTTGAAAGCTTTAATATATACATGCGTAAACACAAATGCTGAAGAACAAATATTAATAATGATTGTGTAATAAAATATTTATTGTAGTACCTTTTTTTTTTTTTTTTTTTTTGTGGGACCCTCGCTGGCGGTCCGGGAATGAACCAGCGCTGCAGAGGCTGCAGGCAGCCTCGCAGCCCAGCGCTCAACCGCTGCGCCACCAGGGGAGGCGCTGTAGCACTATTTTTATAAGCAAAATAATTTGGAAAAATAAATGCTTATATTGAGAAATATTGATATTTTAGTAAATATGGTACATAAATATATGTAGCTTTTAAGGTATGAACCCATTTAAAAAACCAAGCTTCACCTATATAGTAATGGTCCCCAATAAATCATTCTTTCTTGTATCCACATCTTTTTTGTCAAGCCTTCCCACACCTACTCTTTATTTAGCCAGATGATTATCTTTGGCCAATGTGACATTAGTAAACATTGTATCACACAAGAATGAAGACTTAATTTCACTAATAATGAAGGTTTTTCATCACCATGTCAAAATTACAAGACTAAACTCCAGGACAGTGAGAGAACAAATAGAAAGAAGCCATGGCTCATATATAACACATACAATGATGGAATCAAAAGTTATAACATATTATTTTAAGAGCTTTTGATTGTTATTCAATATTATTTATTTGTTCTTTAATGATCTATCATGTGTTATTTGTAGACTTTTAAAAATTGTTAATCTCTTTCTTCTTAGTTGTCATGTGCATTTAATGTATATGGTAGGTTTAGAAATTCACTGTTGAGATTTGTAGATTAAAATTAAAAGGGCATTAGTAATAATACAAAGGGGAGAAGAACACACACTAACAGATATTAATGATATGGATAAAATGTGTGATTTAATTTTCTTTCTACAATTCCTCTTTAAGGAAAATATTAACCAGATGGACCAAAAGTTGTACCATAAAAAACTCAATACTTAAAAAAATACTAATAAAACAGAATATATTTTCTGGAGATAATGCAATTACATTTTCATTTCATTTTTCTTATTGGGAAAAGGGAGAAAAATTGAGGATATTTCTAGGTATGATAGACTGTTGTAATTCACCTATAGGGTCCTGCCCAAAGCTACAAATAACATCCTTGTCAGTGTTACTTCAAACACCATTACAGCTGCTACATCAGTAGCCCAAGTGGGAGAGAAGATTCCAGTGCAGTCTGGATCTGTTGCAGAACTTTCTCTTGTTCTTGATCTCACTCAGAAGTAGCAACCTTTTAGGTCACTTGGTAGATGAGCCTGAGTAATATACACCCACATGAGGAATATGTTGCTTCCAAATCCCAAAGAGACCTATCAAGTGCTGTGCCTATTTTTTCATTGTAGGGGAGACCAGATGCAGAAATTTATCTTCACTTTGTAGAGTTGTCTGTACATGCTGGACATCTAGGAATTTCAATGACATTGAGGTTTGCTGAAATTTAGTTGAATATATTCCCTGCCTTATGATAAAGAGATGTTTTGCCAATAAACTAGAGTAGTTGCTATTTCCTGCTTACTAAGTCTAATTAGAGCACTGTCTGTCATCCATGTAATGGACCAGTATTATCTCTTATAGAAAGGAAAGGTGATCCAATCTCTGTAAATAATATTCTGACATAGGTGAGAGAATGAAAGATTTCTAGGTCTGAAAACTGTCTCAAGTCTGATAATTGACAATATATTTTAATAATTTTCATTACACTTTGGTACACTTGATCTGATCCTTTTCTGCTTATATAGATCAAGTAAGAATTTAACAGGTTTCTTATATATTAGACCTCTAAGACAACTATGATTAGCAAACACCATAGAGCAGTGCCAGATCATTCTTATTGCTGTTTTGATTCTGCTTTCCATTACCATATCTATGCCCATTTATCTGGGCTGCATGAAAGATGTCACTTGGTCCCTCTCATCCTGCAATCCAGTTACCATCATTGCACTTAGATTCCCCAACCAGTGGCTGCATTTCCCATTATGATGCCTTATACAGATCACCCTTGGGGTTCTACAAGGATACTGGTGTTCCTATCATGGATTTATTTCTCACAGAGCTGCTGAAAGGCATGATTTCTGAACATTATTAGTGTGGTGAGTGGGTTTAAATGACAAATACATTCCAACATTCCAGTTTTCCTAAGACTTTGAATGACTTTTTCTTATGTTAAATGGAGGCAGGTTGGACATTACCAATTTGGCCACAGGGGGCCACCTTTTGTTCCATACTTCAATCAGCATCCTTTCTAATTTCTCCATTGCAAAATGAAATGCAGAATCCTGCTGAGTAGGCCCATGTCAGTAAACTTAGCCAGTTCAGCTTTATGTTTCCTCAAGCATATTCCACACCCTTAGTATCCTCAAGTGTTTCCCTTATTATTTCCTCCATAAATTATAAAACTCAAGCCAGATCCTTAAATACTCTTAGTATCGGTAATAATTATCATCTACAAATTAAAGCCTAGAAGACAAACTATTTTCCCATTCACAGCTGGGAAAGTCAATTATTTTACTTTATTCTACATGGAGTTTGGTAGTATTTCCAATTATAAATGAGTTCACTCTGGGAATGAAGTTGGGAAAAGGTGACAAAATGTTCCCTTTGATAGGAAGAATTTCCCTTATTGATGTTAATATTGGCTCTGAATTTAAATTTTTAGACCAGGTTTGAAACCTCAAAAGCTAGTGCTCAGTGTGCCCCAGTGTCCTGTCATAAATCCATAATATATAAGATAAATCTTGTGTTGTATTTAAATTACAAAATATAATTTTTCACTAGGACATTCACAAGGATTATGTAGGGAGAATCCTGAATATGCATCAGGAAGTCCATTGTTGAGGAAAAGGGAAGAAATGCATCTCCAGGTATGTGTGATGGGGTCTAATACAGATACAGACTCAGTGTGGAGATTTCATGACATGTTGTTGGAGGATGTCAATTTTGGATGGTCTCAAATGACATTACTCAGTTCTGTATTCATCTCCAAGAAATAATGACTTGGGCACTCTATTCCATGAGGAGGCTGAAGAGAAATTCTGGATAGAGTTATGTTAAACAAAACAAAACAAACAAAAAAAAAAAACCACAGAGGACTAAACTGGTGATTTTAAATTAGAAATTTAAATGTGTTCTACAGGGAAGAGATCCCATAGGTAAGAGATAACTTTTTTTTTTTTTTTAATATATGGGTCACATTTTATTTACAGAATGAAGATAATATTTTCAAAGCAAGATGAATGTTTTGATGAAATGAGTGCCCTTACCTAACATAATATAAATATGTAAACTCTCTACAGTGACAAAAAGTCACCATTTCCCCAAAAAAAGGTAAATACAAACTAATTTATACTGTTATAAGCTTTAGTTCAAAATATTTACTATTAAAATATTGTAATGAAGTCATCAAACAGATGCTATAAATTACTGATTTTATTAAATACATTTCCAGTTATATAATATTAAATTGTGATACTAAATCACTTTGAGATACTAAAAGCATTAATAGCATACATATTTAAGTAAAGTAAGTGACAATAGAAGAAAACTTCATTTTTAGTTAACACTAGGTAATGAATAGCATTTATTTATTAATTTTTGTCTTGATGTTATTTTAATGAAATTTAAAATAAAACATTCCAGTTCAAAAATATACAACTTTTTGAGACTCCCCAAAAATGTTACCCACCAAAATTAATTTTCTCTAAAATAAAAGTTCTAAAGATGTGTAAGACAATGAAAGAGGGTTATATTTAATATGGCTTTAAAATTATAGGGCTTACATTGCTAACTAATATTAAGCAAACATAACTAACGTAGGTAGAGCTGTTGATAGGATCGATAGCAAACTGATTTAGAATATTGTCACACACTCTCTTCACCTTCTAGATTTTCCTGGGGAACAAAATCTTGAGCTGTAAGAGGCAATAGTGTAACATTGTTATTTTCTTTGATTGATAAGTACTTAAACATTTACAAAAATGAATGATAAATATATAATTTTTTGAGTTTTCTGAATAAATATTTGCTCTTTTTCCTTTGTCTCCTATTGAAAATAACATACAAATCTCAGCTTCATGTTATAAATTAATATATTATAAATAATTTAAGTTTCAAAAAGTTCAGTTTATACAATTAGAAATTTTATTTGGCACTGGAATCAAATTCAAGCAATATAAGTGAAATTATTTGAATTAAATCTTTCATTTTCTTCAAAATTATACAGAAGGATTGGATAATTTTGTCCTGATGTATTAATTATTTTTTCCCCTTTTGAGTATCAGTTCCTTGAAATAGTATCTTCTGCTGCTATTCATTACAGAATCCAACACTGGATACCATATTAAGTGAATCTTTGCACATCTGTTTCTTCATATATAGCATGAGAACATACATTAACACTTAATTTAATATTATTTTAGATTTAATAAGAAAATGTTATTATAAGCATTTGACTAACATGATGGTAATGTAGTTAAAATCATTTTTCTTCTGCTTTCCCAGGTAGTATTTAATGCTGTCATATGCAATTGTCTTTCTTGCTGATATTCCTATATTGTCCACTGATATCTGAACTATGAGAAAGTTATTGAGTCTTTGTATACCTTGTTTATTAGTCACAACCAAAAATGTATTTGCTTACATGCACTTTAACTAAAATATATATGGTCTGTCTTTATATTTCTAGGAAGTTTATGACAATTATATTTTATAATTTACAATGCTTAATTCTGATTTCCTTAGTTTTGTGTCAAACATTATTTCAGTGAGGACTTTATAAAAAAGGAACAGTGTCACATAAAGAGACACTTGAGGATAGATTTTACTAGTAAATTTTCAGAAATCACGTCATTAATGCAATCCCTTCAACATTACCAATTATATAACCTGTCGAACAAAAAACATTTATTAACATTGGCTGCATGTATTGAATAAGATAAATAAAAGATCTTGCATTATAATGCCTGATGACTATGAATCTTATTTTATTTGGATAGATAAAAGAAACCAAAATAGATTCCAATAATGTGCAGGCACCAATAGAAAGAGTTACAGCGATCTCATATGAAAGGAAAGACATGACTTGTCTTGTAAAAGACTTGATGGAATAGCTGAGATATTACAAAAAAAAAAAAAATGACTCAAAGTTTGGTGTGGACATACCACTCAGAAAAAGAGATATTAGATGTTTCTGACTTTGGGGAGAAAAAGACAAATTTTGTTTTGCTCAAAACATACAAAAATGGATAGTGTTAATTCTAGAATGCATAATTTCAACTCAAATTCACAGCTGGTATTAGATATTGAATATATTTAGATACTGAATATAATAGATGTTGAATATAACCTAAATAAATATTTGGAATGTAGTTACTCTCCTTTAAACCTTAGTTGTGCCCTTTGAATACAAGATGCTGGAAATTACTGGTGGATCGAAATTGTATATGCAAGTCCCTCAAATGCCTTTAGAAAGCATGCAAGAGAAAAAAAAAGATAAGTGGCTAATTTCACTATTTTTACAGATGGAACACCAAAAAAGTTCAGTAGAAGTAAATCTCACTTCAACAATGGAATTTATTCTTTTGGGATTTTCTGATATTCCCAATCTACAAATGCTCCTTTTTGTGATATTTTTCTTTGTCTATTTGATTATTCTGATGGGAAATGGCCTCATTATTCTCATAACCAGGGTCGACCAGGCTCTCCAGACTCCCATGTATTTTTTCCTCAGTAATTTTTCCTTCTTGGAAGTCAGCTACGTATCTGCCACTCTTCCTAGAATGCTCAAAAACCTTTGGACGCAGAAAAGAAGCATTTCTTTTTTTGCCTGTGCTACGCAAATGAGCTTTGTGCTTATTCTTGGACACATTGAGTGTCTCCTCCTGACAGTGATGGCCTATGACCGCTACATGGCCATCTGTAACCCTCTGCACTACCCTCTGGTCATGAGTCACAAGGTCTGTGTCCAGCTGGTGGCTGCCTCCTGGATCACTGGGGTTCCCGTTGAGCTGGCACAGACATGTCAAATTTTCTCTCTGCCTTTCTGTAGATCGAACAGGATCAATCACTTCTTCTGTGATATCCCCCCATTACTCAAGCTGGCCTGTGGGGACACTTTCCTGAATGAGATGTTGGTCTTTTCAGCTGCTGTGCTCTTTGTTATGACTCCATTTCTGTTGATACTTGGCTCCTACACTAAAATCATCTCCACCATACTGAAGTTGCCATCGGCAACAGGACGAGCCAAAGCCTTCTCCACCTGCTCCTCCCATGTTATAGTCGTGGCTTTATTCTTTGGATCTGGAATCATTACATATTTACAACCCAAATCCAAAAATTCTTCCATGGTTGACAAACTTCTTTCTCTTTTCTATACCATTGTCACCCCAATGTTTTAACCCCATGATCTATACACTGAGAAATAAGGATGTTACGATGGCCTTGAGAAAATTATTTTCTTAATATTTAATGTGTAAGCTGCTGATTTGAATCCATTGCTTGATATCTTATTTAATTTTGCCATTATATAATTGGGAACCAATATTTGATTTGTTTTCCTACCTTACTATAGATTATCTATACTCATCACTAAGTTTGTTGTTTTAGACTAGATACCTGATACCATGATTATATGCATGAGTATTCCTCAATATAAAACCTAAATTCTATGAAGTATAATAAATACCCACCCATGTTCACGGGGTTTGTGTGTGTGCATGTGTGTGTTAAATTGATTCTAAATTTACTGTGATAGTAAAGACAGTTAAGGAAGAGCAAGGTGGGGGGAACTTCTTTATGGAACATCATGACTTACTATATAGCTGTAGAATTCAGACACTGTGGTATGATTCAACAATAGACAGACCAGGGACATATGACACAATGCCAACCACATACCCAGCACAGACACACTTAAACATTTGAAAGATATTTTTGCAGAATAGTGTAGAAAAAGTCAAAATAAATTGAGTAGGAGCTTCTGATTACATTTACTCAGAAGTAAATGTAAAAAAAAAAAAAGAAAACATTCTGTATTTCAAAAAAATATATTTATGAAAAAGGCCTAAGAGTTAAGTCTCAGCACTATCACCTCTGCAGCCTTGGTTCAATCCCCAGCCAGGGAGCTGACCCACATGGCACAGCAGACCTCTCCTTTCTCGCCCACTGCTCCCCTCAGCAATGTATTTCAGTAGACCTGCCTTTTCTGCTCCCCACTCTGTCTCTGGTGAATCCTCTCACTCCCCCCACCCCACCACCTCTGGCCTATAACCCAGTTCTTCTACACAAAAGTAAAGAAAATTAAAAAAAAAAGAAAAAAGTATTCCCAGGTAATTTGTAAGCCTAAATATGAACCTTCATCTAAAACAATAGTTGTAATAAATTATTAGCTATAATGGGAAATTTTGTTAAGTTGAATAACATTGACTTAGAAGTGCTCATCACTGGGCCTCCCCGGTGGCGCAGCAGTTGAACGCTGGGTTGTGAAACTGCCCGCAGCCTCTGCAGTGCCGGTTCGATCCCCGGCTGCTCCCTGGCCACCGGAGGAGGATCTCACATGGCCGCAGACCTCTCCGATCACCTGCTGCTCCCCTCAGCAGTGTACTTCGGTCCTTCTGCCTGCTCTGCTCCCCGCTCTGGCTCTGGTGAATTCTCTCAACCTCCCGCGCTTCTGACTATACCCAGTGATTGTGTGAATAAATAAAAATAAAAATCTTAAAAAAAAAAAAAAAAGAAATGCTCATCACTGAGAGAAGCCATTCAGAGTTAACATCTTCAACATAAAGTATTTACAAGCACCATATAGAAACATATGCAGCAAGTCAAAAAGAGAAAACTCAGAAGAACTTGAGTAGGAGCTTTGTAGGAGTATCATCCAAGTGGCCAGAAAACTAACGGCAGGCCTCCCGCAGCTGATACCTAGTGACAGGCTTCATACTTTGGCAGCCAGTTGCTGGGCTGGGCATCCCCTTTTCTATATGTTGTTTCTAGTGCATAATATAGTTATCTGTTTCATCTTCAGGTACTATAGGTTTTGTTCTACTATAATCTAGTGACAGTCTAAGGAAGAAATGAGCCTATCTTCACAATACTATCATCTTGTTGCTCTGAGGAATGCTGGTTTTTTAAATTCCTTAAAAATAGCATATTTTAAGTATGTCATTTCTTTGATAGAGAATGTATAATGTTAAATAACATAGAGTAACTATGGTCTTTGACTAAAAATCAAATCATTTGTAGAAAGTCAGATGATTGAGTATGAGTAGATACAATTAGAATTTAAAATCTTATAAATTTTTAATATGTATAGGGGAGGGAAGACAGTTGATTGTTTGAAGTATAGGTAATAACCTAACACATATCTACTTTGAAAAAATGTAAGTATAACCATACTGTTGTCAAGATGAATTGGTTTAACAATTGACATTCCTCTCACTGATTTTCTAAACTGGTGTATATGTTCAACCCAATAACTAAAGTAACTACTTAGTTTAGTGTCAAGATTTGATATTTTCTCATTAGAACTACTCTTGAATTTTTCCAAAACATCACATGTGTTCAAAACAATCTTTTAAAAACATGAAAAGATATCTAGATATAAAAAAACAGGGTAACTACAATGATTAGTCCCCAATAAAAAGATGACTAGATATGTAAGAAAATCTGATCTACAACCTGGGAAGAGCTTACTCAATAGAATAAGATCAATTATTAGGATAACTGGTTTTGTAGCTGAGGACATAAATTATGTCTTTACAATTATGTGTAACTATGTATATGCATAGTAATCATAGGATAAGGATTAGGTCAGTCTACTACGAGGGGGGGTGGACATCAATTTCCCCACATCTTCTAGGAACAGGAATTTTATGTGAGGCAAATGAGTGTAGAGATCTCATGTCGATATACATCAAGGAAGCACCAACAAATATCAAATCTGTCAAATAAAGAAGTATAGAATCAACTTCTGAGAGGGATGCTGCAGTAAAAAGTACCAAACTTAATGTAAAATAAGAATGCAGGTTTAGAAACACTGTGGAATGGTCAAAGCATTCTATAATGGGAAATAAATATAATTACAAATAGAAGTGGATACTGGGCTTGCAACACCAAGACTAGTTATTTTTATCTCCATGCTTGCCTGGAAGTTGATTAAATGCAAAAAAAGAAAATATATAGCGAAAACTTTCATTTTACTTTATTCAGTTTTAAATAATTCTACTTACGATGTCTATTTCTGAGGCAAATTACATTTTCAATCACCTAGATACTTTTCCTGACTCCAGAGTAGATGTCATAACATCATTAAAACCATCTAGATCCTTACTGGAGAGATGCCATGCCTTTTATACCCACAAAAGTTAATGTAGGAATTTAGTATTTCCCTTCTGAAAAGGGGGTCTCACCACCTCTCTTCTTGAAGAGACCGAGCATATCATGTTGAGGTGATAAAACATGTGATGCCTTTCCAAAGGTATGGATGCTGCAGACCTGGATAAATTATGGATAAATTATGGGAATAAAAGTAAGAAAGGCAAATCCACACCAAATACAATAGAGACATTTTTAACTTTTCCTTCAAGTAATACTTAAAAATAGTGGATTTTCTCATCCAGGCATCCCCACTCCCCCAAAGGGAAAACTGTATGCAAAGAAGGGACTGAAGAGGACATGCATTCTACAGGGAAAGAGTTCTGAAAAGTAAACCTGTATGATTGCCAAGTAACAGCAGTCTTTTAGAAATTAATTTGATACATGAGAGAAAATATTCCCCAAAGAGTACATGGCTACTTCTATTTAAGAACAGTTAATGTTTAAAGCTAGCATGAATATTGTAGAATTACAGTGATACCCTGAAAGGAAAAAAAAAAAAAAACATTTAAAGTTTACAGGCTAAAAATTAAATACATTATTATAGACAGCTTCATGCAAAACCATAAAGGTAAGCTATAATTGTGTTCTTTGGCTATTTGAAATTAGCTCTAAGGAGCAAGATACAAAAAAAAAAAAAAGAAATGAAAAGAAAAAGAAAAGAAAGCATGGAATCCTGAGATTTTTCTCTGAAAATGAGTTAACTGCTGAAAATAAGTCATGTAGCTATGAGACTAGAAGGTGGAGCTTGGTGTATATTTGATGAAATGTGAAAACATATATTTATGTATTTTTTTTTGGAAGGTTGGAGAGCAAATATAAATAAGCAAGATATGTGGGAGGATCTTTTTGTTTGTTTTGTTTGTTCCACTGCTCTGGCCACTTGCATGACCAGACTAAGCAATAATTGAGTTTAATCAAAGTTACATTTTATTAGACAGAATTAGGAAGATTAAAAAGAGGAAGATTAGGTGGTTACAAGGAAATTTTAAGGTAATGAATTATAAATTTTACATATGAAAGGGCAATATTTCTTGATTGAATTAAAGGGTAATCATCCAATATATGGAGCATTTACAGGGAAAGTTACTAAAGAGGTTAGTGAGATGAATGCTTTACACATTTAGCACAATTAATAGCAGAAATGAATAAAGTAGAACAATACATTGCTTAGTATGAAAATATTAGTTTAAGAAAATTTATTCTGATAAAGATATAAATGCAAGGACTTAAATCTCCTTTGGAATAAGATTTAAGCAAAATCTTTACAACAATAGCTTCTAGAAACAGAGGAACATGAGGGTAAAAGCAATTTAAGAGATTATAGGAATACATTCATGATTCTGGTCCAGTTAACAGAAGAGGGAAATGTGATTCCAAAATGTTGATGAATTAACCTTCTTGAATTTACCATACCTGCAGATGGAGAACAAATTATAAACAGACACTCAAATGTCACGACAATTATGGAATTTTTTCTCTTGGGCTTTTCTGATATTCCTAATGTCCGGTGGATCCTTTTTGGGTTATTTTTAGTCATCTACTTAACTATCCTGATGTGCAATAGCATCATCATACTGATAACAAGCATTGACCCTGCTCTCCAGACCCCCATGTATTTTTTCCTCAGCAATTTTTCCTTTCTAGAAATCTGTTATGTAACAGTCACTATTCCAAGGATGCTCATGGACCTTTTGACCCAGAAAGGAACAATTTCTTTCTTTGCCTGTGCTACACAAATGTGTTTTGTCCTAATGCTTGGAGGTGCAGAGTGCCTGCTCCTGGCTGTGATGGCCTATGACCGCTATGTGGCCATCTGTAACCCTCTGCACTACCCTCTGGTCATGAACCACAAAGCCTGTGTCCAGCTGGTGATAGTTGCCTGGACCAGTGCTGTTCCAGTTGTAATTGGGCAAACTTGCCAGATCTTCTCTCTGCCATTTTGTGGATCCAGCACAATTAATCATTTCTTCTGTGATATCCCCCCAATACTCAAGCTTGCTTGTGGGGACACATTTGTGAATGAGCTAGCAGTCTATGTAGTTGCAGTGGTATTTATCATGGTTCCATTTCTGTTGATTGTTGTGTCCTATGGCAAAATTATCTCCAACGTTCTGAAGTTGTCATCATCCAGTGGGAGGGCTAAAGCCTTCTCCACCTGTTCTTCTCATCTGACTGTCGTAGTCCTATTCTACGGAACAGCCACTATCACTTATTTACAACCCAAACCAAATCAATCTGAAGGAACTGGAAAACTCATCTCTCTTTTTTATACAGTTTTGATCCCAACATTGAATCCCATCATATATACTCTGAGGAACAAAGATATCATGTTGGCACTAAGAAAACTTTTAGCTAAGATATTAACATGACTTAAAGACTGGCAATTATAGATAGAATTTCCTTATATATTTGCACATTGATGCATTGGAAAACAACTTCTGAGATTATGTCCATCTTCCAAAATAATGATAATTACTAACATCATAGAAACCCACATGTTAAGGGGCCTTAATCTCCTAGGGTTTATATGAGTAATCAAGACAATTGGTGGCTTTGATCAAATTATTTACAAAGATCTAATGAGAATCCATGTGTTCTCTTGCTCTTAATCTGTGAGTTAAGATTTTGCCTGAGCAATAGAATAACGGCTGAGTTTGTCTTATAACTGGATTGGAGTAATGCTCTGTGATAAAGTCCCTTTAAACTTCCCACTTCTCCAGGTATAGTTGTAGTCTCTATACCCATAGTTGGGTTTAGCCTATGAGAAAAAATAGCAGCATCCGGGATTTAGAAGCAGTAGAACATTAGTGTTTTCTTTGTTCTTCCTTCTTATTTCTTTCTCTTGTTACTCTCTATATCTTTTAAAAAGGTAAGTCCTGAGGGTGTTCCTACCTCCATTATCTTAGCACTCACTGTTCTTTGGTAACACCATCTCTATTCCTTGCAGCTCTAGGTTTCACATTGGCAATATCTACTTAGTATTAAAAACTTCTGGAATTTTCACTATAAACTATCCAAATCAAGGTGCAGTGAATTGAATGTTGGCCAAAAAGGCCTTTGCAAATGGAATTAAGGTAGGGAATTTGAAATGAGATGACCTTGTTAAGATAGGCACTAAATTCTGTGACCAGCTTACTTTTAAGAGACGGAAAGGCAGAGGTGGTTTAGGAAACAGATACAGAGACACAGAGAATAATGTCACATGAAGATGGACACTGGGATAGGAATGATGCAGCCAAGGATCCAGAAGCTTCAGAACCACCAAAAGCTGGAGGAAATAAGGAACAAATTTCCCTGAGAGCTTTCAGAGGAGACCTTGCCAACACTGATTTTGGACTCCAATTTGTAAAAATGTAAAAGACTATATTTTTGTGCTAAACCTCTCATCATGGGGTAACTTTTTACAGTAGATGCAGGAAAGTAAGACACCATGTACATAACCTTTTCATTAAACTGCTTTCATTTGAATGTTCTGGAATGAATCCGATCTGTTCTGGGGTCAGTAGATGGATTTTGAAGAAAATTAAAAATACTGATCTTTTTATTTTGATACTGAGTCTACTAAACTTTATCTTGTTGAAATAATATTTGCTCAAAAGTGATTTCTACATATGTTTGTTCAAGAATGTTTATTAAAGCTTTTCTTATACAGCAAAAGAAAACTGTATGTAAGGAAAGGCACTCTCAACCAGAACACATGATGACCTTGGATTACAGCTGCACCACGTAATACAACAAAATTCTCAAGGCAAATTTTTAGAGCCACTCCATTGAAGAAATCCCAAGCTTCCCTGACATGTGAGAAATAATGACAATGTCTGAATAAAACTTAATTCTGTTTTTGTAAAAGGAAAGGATGGCCCTGCACATGAACTTTATACATATATGTGGGTGTGGGTGTGCAGGCATATTAGCAGGATCTGGAAGGATGTCGATTGATAGAGACTGTTGGCTCCCTTACAGTGGCAGAATTTCAAATAATTTCTGATTTATCATCATCATTATTGTTGTGGGCCTCCTCGGTGGCGCAGCAGTTGAGCGCTGGGCTGCGAAGCTCTGCAGCGCTGGTTCGATCCCCGGCTGCCAGGCAAGGGTCCCACATGGCACACATCATCATTATTGTTATGAAAACATTTTATGTTTATATTTATATTCAGATGTATTACAAAGAGAATATAATATATATAATATGTAAATTATAAGAAATAATCTTTTTTATTCAGGAAATATAAAACTAGCAAGGAACTTGCTTTTCCCATTTATTATCTTTAAATTGTTTTTTATTGCGTTAATCTCTGCTTGAATAATAGAAATGTGGGTTCCCCCCATTTTAGTCATTGTTGCCATAGGAACCCACCACCAAAGAACCTAACGTAGACCCTTAAGTTCCTTCCAATCTTTATTTTCATTCCACCCATCTTTTCCCCAGGTTGTCCCTTAAAGAATATTTAATATGCAGCTAAAAAATTTCATTATCATCTCATAAATGCTTAATTTTTGGAAAAAAACAATAGATTTTTTTATAAACTAAGCAAATTAGAATATATAACATTTATAACCATTTCTTTAAAAAAATAGGAAAGACCTTAACCATAGACATTTAATAGAAATGCACACTTTTACAATTTAACAAAGGATATAGCTGCAAATAAAGAAACATTGTGCACATTGAATGATGATAAATGATGTCTATACAATGGTAATCAGTGTTATTAGAAATTTCTGGGTTTATTGCAATGTTACAAGGTACCCTTTCTCTTGTACATGTCATGAAATTGTAATCATTCCACTAGTTTGTCTATACATTTATCTTGCAGTGTTTTTTCTCATTAATAACATCTGACACAGATTGATATAACTTGCATTTTTTTTAGCTTTCACATATTGAAAATCATACCACTGATTTCCATAGAATCGTAACAACCATTTTAACAACAAAGTTGGCAATGGGCAGTAAATAAAAATATGCATACATTTTGATCTAGGAAAAAATATACTAAGAAATCAATCTTGGAGAATAAATCATTTTTCCATGTGAAGCCTGGAGCTGCAAGGAATAGAAATGGTGTTACCAAAGAACAGTGAGTGCTAAAATAATGGAGGAGGGAACGCCCTCAGGATTTGCCTTTTTAAAAGATATAGAGGGTGACAAGAGAAAGAAATAAGAAATAAGAACAAAGAAAACACTAAAGTTCTGCTGCTTCTAAATCCTGGATGCTGCTATATTTTGTCATAGGAATGCTGTCTTTTTTTTTTTTAAGATTTATTTATTTATTTATTTATACAAGCACTGGGTCAGAAGCACGGGAGGGTGAGAGCATTCACCAGAGCCAGAGTGGGGAACAGAACAGACAGACTGACGAAATACACTGCTGAGGGGAGCAGCAGGCGCAGCAGAAGAGGTCTGCGCGCCATGTGGGATCCTTGCCGTTGGCCGGGATCTAACCTGCTGCAGAGGCTGCGGGCAGCCTTGCAGCCCAGCACTCAACTGTTGTGCCACCAGGGGAAGCCCAGGAATGTAGTCTTATAAATCATTTTGGCACACCAATAACAGTAATTATTAAGTATGATTTATACTTCTATCAGAATCAATGTTTATATATAATGCAATCATTGGATTTAATTTAAAAAAACAAAAGAGAAAGTTCTGGGAATATTTTTAAATGTATTTTCTCAGTGATTATGGTAGTGAGGGGAAATTAGGGAAAACTGTAAAGTTTTTATTTTATGTTATTTATAGCAAAAATATGTTATAAAAACAGATATAATACACATAGCCTGCATACCACATAAACACAAAATATTGATAAAGTTCAATAAAAAATGATAATTTTCATTTTAGATTTTTTGGAATAAAATATTCTATTATTTTCTCTTTATTGCAATAAAACTGTATTGTTTAATCAATAAAATGCAACAAGTCTGCATTTAATATGTATAGGAAAATAAGTAAGATTCTTTGCTTGTGGTATTGCTCTAACTGTATTTGTATTATTAGCCTTATTATTTTTCAATATTCATGCTTGTGTAATAACATCTATGTATATGCAGGCAACAAAACTCTCAGGAACCATGTGTAACTGATAATTAAGGTTTAAAAAATGTGCAAAGGTTTTTTCTGTTCTTATGCTTTAGTGCAGAGGTAAAAAAGTTCTACTCATGTATGTGGACTAGAATAGGAAAAACTGCAAAAATTAATGACAAAAAAAAAAATCCCAGGAAAATTTCCAAGCAGTAATTGGATACCTTCTGAAGCTATTATGTGTGGAATGCAGTAAGACAGACGTTAAGAAGATTTTCATTTTCACAGTGCCTCTGTCATAATATAGAAAAATTGCTTAGAAAAAATAACTAATAAGGGAACATTTTGAATATTAATAATTATTATAGGTGAACTAATCTACTTCTGTTTCTAGAAGGGCAGATAAGTGTTATGTTCTTAGAGAATGTTAATGATATTTTTGTCCAGAAAATGTAATTTCTATACTCCTAAAATTCTGTGAACATTACCAGAAATTATGCAATAAAACTGACAATTGAAAAACAAAAATATAGTAGCAAATTTCAGTGATAACACCAAAAAATTTATTTGTACCTCTAAATTTTTTGTAGCTTTAATTTTTAAATATAATGAAAATGTACCGTTAATATTTAACATATGTGCTTTTTTAATTCTGTGTGTTTTCTAATGAAAATAATCCTGATAAATTATATTATTATATTGCATTATTCTTAGAGCAATTCATTAACACAGTTAAGAAATGATTTTTCTTCTTTAAACACACATAGGTACTGGGTGTGGGTGTGTGTGTGTGTGTGTGTGTGTGTGTGTGTGTGTGTGTGTGTGTGTGTGTGTGTCTGTGCGCATGCGCAGCGCAATTCAGGGAAAGAAGATTGCTTTCCTTTACTGAAGTCAGCTGTTAAGAGATGGGAGAGATAAGTAGTGTATATGGAATTTTTACACAGCTTGAGTTGGGGAAGGAAAAATGAATATATCTACGGTTTTAACCTTAATTTGCAGTTTTGAATATTTGGCTGTACAAAAATTATAGAGCACATAATTCATCTTTTGTGTTTAAAGCAGATAAACAGAAGCTAGATAGAAAACATGATAGATAGGTAGGTACAAAGGTATATGATGACAGATGGTAAATAGTGTGCGTGTGCCAACATACTCATTGATTCTAACTTCTATCTAAATGGTTTTATGCAGCTATTGTATTTATCATCATAAAGGCTGTGATATATGTATACATATATATGTGATATTTCTTTGGGGTTCATTATTTTATGACAACCAAGCCTTTGATCTAACAGTGGGTAACTATATAACGAATAGGTTGCACCATCCATTTGTTTCCCATATTAA